AAGTTAAAAGCAAGTGACCACGTCAAGAGGCACTCAGGCTCTCCTCTTCATCATCTGAATGAGATACAATCCAAAACCAAAAATCATAATATTACCGTTAACATGGAACATATTTTCATCACAAATCTTTTCTTGGTTAGTATGCTGATTTATGCAGCCTTGGCTCTTAAATAATCCTCTCCATAGAAGGGTTCCGTGTTGTTGTGGCTTCTATCACGTTGGAGAGTTTTGTCCACAAGAGTGTGTTGGAGAAGACAGATGTCACCCTGTTGTCGTTATGGACCACCATTTTCTGTGACTGCATTAAATAGCTGTGGAGGACCAGTTCAAGGGCTCTGTCCTCTCTTTTCTTCTAAATTGTGCCAATAATTCCCTCATACTAACAGATACCAGAGTTCACCCAATGGTACTTCTTTTAATTAGAATGTATTCTATTATTTATTCTTTTTAGCCAAACAATCTATACATTACTTGAAAAGTAGGTTGAATTTCAGTGGAACAAAATGGTGTTTGTAAAAAAAAAAAAAAAAACATTAAATCTGGTTGTAATGCACTGCAATTTGGGGCTATTTGTATAGCCCGAAATCCAAAATGACAAATTTGCATTCTATTCATTGCATTCTGTATAGCCCCAAATGACAAATTACACATTTTTAGTCTTTACACATGCAACATCCTCCGTCCCGAAACCCTCACGTCGGCACTCGGAAAAACCCTTCAATGGGGAGGGAAAAAAGGGAAGAAACCTTAGTGAGAGCGGCAGAGGAGGGATCCCTCTCCCCAGATGGACAGAATACCACGGGTGTCATGTGTGCAGAATGAACAACCTTTTTGATGTACAATTCCTTCAATTCCTACGACAGAAATGATTCAAATGTTACAAGTAGTAAGCCAGGTGAACAGCAGGACCACTGCAGGGACCACCACCATCCACAGAAACGAAACCAAAGTCTGTAACGTTGGTTCATGATGAAAATAATAGTGACGTGATTAATATTAATAATGGTAGTGATAGCAGCACGGTAATGGCAGGGACCAGGACAAAGGTCCAGATAGAACCAGAATCTATGAAAACCTGCGAGGCGAAAAAGCCTATATACTATTATTGGCAGTAAAAGTAATAAAGAATAATACTAACTAATATCTTACGTCACACAAATTACAATTCTACCACTATGTGTGCACCTCTACTTAAATCCCTGACAGCATCCAGCAGGGAGCTGCCTGGCTCATCGGTAGTCACCGGCAAGCGTGAGACCAGCTAGTTGTCCAGAGGGAAGCGAGTAGAAGTGGAGGGCAGGTGCAAGAGGAAAGCAAACAAATCCAAGACAAAGCAGCAGTTGTGGCATTAGTGAATTCATTATCAGTTAGTTAGATAACTAAGTACTGTTTTTAATGTCGAAAAAGCCACCCTGAATTTGTTTTCTTTGAATTACTCAATAGCGGGTGGCATTGCAATGTTTGAGTTTCATTCATGTTCCTTCAATTCACTGATATGACCCTTGACATAGCACAGCACGTCAGCTGCCTAGACCCAACACAGTTGTACTATATTCACATTCTTCGGAATAGTACACGTTTGAGGAAGAACAGTCAAAAGATTCAATTAAATTGACTAATTATTCGCACATTTCGAATTTCATTAATGGCGATTAATGAACGTCGCTGTGCTAAAGACTAAGTAATGTCGTTGTAATGAGTAAGTAATGAGTTTTCACTGTAGAAAACATGTATTTTAGGCCTAGCAGTGCATTAAGCGGTCCGTTTGCCACTCAACCCCTCCTGAATAACGCGTGGAGGAATTCCTCTGCACAGTTCTCTGCTGTGTATCGCGCCTGTTTGTTTTACTTCCAATGCAAAAAGCTGTGTCCATCTTCAGCTAACTGACTGCAGCTAGCAGCCGTCTCGTTTCCGAAGTAAATCTAGGTACGGTAATTATGTACGTTATTGTGTTGCATTAATCTCAGCCACATTAATCGCATAGATTGTTAGGGACCCGGTTTTATTAACAATTTTTCCCCCCGGTCTGTGCTGAACACACCCACCTGTGTGTTCCGCCTCCGGCCCCGCCCCTCTCCCACGTGCCCAGCTGTGGCTCATTCCGGGGATCACTGGTGACGAGCATAAAGGCTCCTGCTGTCAGAGGCTCGTCGTCATCGTCAGTCCGTCCCAGTACCCAGGCTGGTCTCAGGTGCCGTTGATACTGAGATACAGCAGTTAAACCAGTTTATTCATGTTTTTGGTTTGTTTTTGTGTCAGACCCACGGAGTGCACGTAACCTGCTTTTGAGTTGGACTGTGAGTATGGTGTCGGGCCTCGGGTTTCCACACCAGACCCTGCTTGAGCCACCCCAGACCGCCAGACGTCGGTGGAGTTTCCCTCCCGACTCCAGTTGAGCCAGAGGAGCGCCTTCTGTTTCCCGTATTCTCCTTGTTGGTTTTTTGTGATTTGTGTGAAGTCATTTTGGCTGAAAATCCAAGGCTGCTTTGCGTGTGCTTTTGGGTCCACCAAATTCCCCTCCTAACATAGATTAACTAATTCCAAGCCTAAAACATAATATATCAGGTAATTAACAAAAATAATTTCTATTTAATTTCTATTCATTTTAGCCTGAGCTAAAATCCCCAATGAATACATTTAGAGTGATAACTAGAAGTATTGAAAAATATGTAATAGTTGTATTCTTTCTATACATTTGTTGAAGTACAGTGATCAAAAGAGTAGTGAAGGAAAGAAACAAGAGAAGTGCATGTGTGGTGAGAGGAGCTGAGTCACTTTTGTGAAGGACAAACAATGTATACATTCAAAAGTGTCTTTTTTTGTTTGTTGGTTGAAACCTCAAACTGCTGTTTACATCCTTTACAAGGTCCTTACGGACAGAATACAGTTTCTGCACAAAGCAGAGTTTGTTTTTCTAATGCACACAACCGCTAGTTGTTGCAGCTTCTAAAGAGCTTTGTCACTCAGTACCCATTTGCATAACCCAACAAGTCCTCCTGGCATCACAGGGTGTGAGTAACACAGAGTCAACTGGGTGAAACGAGGATAAATCCAGCCGGCTGGATGCAGAGCGGGGTAGACGGAGGGAAGGAGACACTGTGTTGCATAGCAATGCGGAACGCAACAGTCTGCTTTCCTTTTGTTGCTCCTCTTCGGCAATGGAGGCACACGTTGGTGGTGACACAGTTGCTGCACATATATTTCAATATTATAAGAGTACTATATAAGAGACACCTTTTATTCAGTAGTTTTAAGGAAACTGTTGGATTATAAAACAGCATAATCCAGACTAGATTCCCCTGAAAAATGACACAATGTAAATTGAACTAACACAGAACTTGAACTGGTTATTTGAAGGCGCACAGTCTTGAAAAGCTTAACAACTATAGAAACATATTAATATATTTACGGACACGATGCTCTTGCGTTACCGCCTTAAATCTTTAGCCACAATTGCAACATTTTAACAGGCAAGTTAACATTTATGAATCTCTTTCTGAACAGGTAAAAGCATATATATGTGTCTTTGATCCGGGAGAACCATGAACCACTTATCTACAGTATATATCAATAATCTACGTATAGCAGAAGGTTTCCGCATGCAAACGCATTTGTGTACAAGGGGTCGCCTCACGCAGCTCAGTTTTGGCAAATTTTTTGCCAAAGTTGAAATTTCTCCACTTGCGCGAATGAGGTCATTCTAGCGCTTCGGGTCATTCGGCCGCCCGTTGAAAATGTGCTTCGCGTCCGTGCATTGACCCTGCATGGAATGTACTCACATGAAATACAGCATTGGGCACGCCTCCAAATGCTGTCATTGGTTGAGACGGTAATGATGAATAATGGAGTTAATTAATGCGTTGATAATAAAATGTTAACTGACCAAACAAACACTTAAAATGTGAAGCGGTCCAGTTAGAGAAAATTTCTAGAAGCAAAGGTCCGGAAGATCATACTGTGACTACCTATTGTGATTAAATAGAGGGATAGAGTTGTATCAACATCTGCATGTATTCAATACACAACTAACAAAGAACTGTGTAACATGTATGTGTGACTGCAAATATAAATAATCTTCTCTCAACTAAATAAAAGTAGAGCTGCAGTTAAAAAAAAAATGCGTGTTCAAATAAGTGAATTGAAGTGCTTCAATTCAGAAGAAACGGGAAGATAAGCTTGAATTTCCCCTTTTCAGCTTCACATTCAGACTTGACAGTATCAGCAAATTATAAATAATAAATCTCAACAGTTTAATAGAATAGATATCTACTCTCCCTTTTTTGGTGAATCCATTTTTTCCTGCCAGGATGTTAAACCTGCTCTTAATGCATCAGGGCCGTTCTCCTCCTCTCGTGGAGGAGCTCATTGCGCCTCATGGCGGCGTTTAAACGGGTTCTGTATGAACAGAAACCAGTCCGTCCATTCTGCATTAAATGCTCTACGTTCGCTGCTGTTGAGACGGACAAAATAACTACAGCTGAATGTTTAAAGTCAAAGCGGATACTTTATTTAACCAAAGGAGTATTGTGTCCTGCAGTCATACGTGCACGGACCCATTTCAGGAAGTTTTAACAACGACATGAAAAAAGCCCTTAATACAAAGTGCGCTCGTATTATATGGTCTCTGAGACCATTTTTGATTGGTCAGACAGCTATTGGAGCACAGGGACGTCCATCCCTCTAGGCTATCGAATCAACATGCCTCCGTTGTTCATGAGTTCTTATCAGGATGTTTGCCAGATGTGTGCATGATGATTTGCATATGTGCGATTGTCACATTTCTAGGTATGGAAATGTTATTCTTAGAATATATAATAATAATAATACATCATGGTGGAAGGGACAGGGGGGGGGGGGTCATTAGCATTAAGACCTGAAACGGGTGATTTTGAACAGAGCTGACAAGCGTGCCGTTCATAATGATCCTGGTGGTATTTTTTTTTTTATAAGTATGTTTCACACATTTCATTCAGACCACAAAGAACAAGATAAACTTGTGGTAAGAGGTCATAATGTTGCTCCTTTAATTCAATTCTGGGCAAAACAGGGTATCTATTATGAAGAGAGATCGATAGCGTCGATTCTCTGAGATAAGAACAGCAGATTGAAGTCATCTTGATCCGCCGACAGGAGGAAATGTATTGGTGTCAGCCCACAGGAGTCGTTTTTCCTTCATGATCCGCTGTAGCGAACAGTGGGATAGTTTTGTCTAAGGTCGCTCCTTCACCGGCTGCCTTTTCCATCTTAACGGTGGCAGCCGAGACAGATACACGATTCCTGGAAGGATAGGGAGCAAAGGGAATTCCGCTGTCAAACACACCCAGAATATAACCGGAGGAAAGTTCCATTCTCTAATTCCCCGTGCTCACCCTCTCTGTTCCTATTCTCGGATGCGCCGCCTCTCATCCTTGTCTGCCGTTCTCTTTCCAGGTTTAAAGCTCGCTAGCAAATGCAAAGAAATCCAACACTTTTTAAAAGCGTTTGACAAGACCCGCCTTGCTCAATGACATGCGGCTGAGCTAGCAAAAGGCTCACCTGAGTAGTCAGCGATGTAAAACGCTCCCTTGAGTGTTGCTCTCTCAGGAGGATTTTTTAATGAGGAGCTTGGCTTTCTTCGGCAGCAGATCTTAAGGGAAAGCAAAACACCAAAGAGAGGGGCCGACGGGGATGCCGGCTGATTGTTCCTGCTTCCCTATCTGACTTTTCGTTGCTGTTCTTTTTTTAATGTCTCACATCCGAGTGGCAAACTGTATTGTATCGCTGAACTGTGAAATAAGAATAAAATCAGATTGAGGCTGAAATTAGGACGGCACTCCCTGGTTTAACTTCTCTTGGTTTTGCCCCCAAAACAGCAGTAGTGAACGCAGCAAATTACTTGTATACATGTGTTGCACATGCATTGGCTTAATTTGTTGGCAAGTTTGTTTAATCAGCTCTATATGTTGACATTGATGAGGGTGTACTCTACTTAATATGCATTAATATTATGATGGCTGACAACTATTGTTGGGACATTTAATCCACAGCTTAGTTGCTGACTTTATACATTTTCTATCTCTTCCCCATTTGTCCAAGCAACTAAACAGTAATTCCAAACCTAAAAAAACATACATATTCACCCTTTTCTCCACTTGGAATGGCAAGTGTGCATTGCCAAGCCCAGCAGCCATTTACACACTTCCCCTCTCCCCCCCCATCCTCCTCAGGTAAGAGCTGGTTGTGAGCAGGGTCTGGTGTCTGAGCGGTGGTGGAGGCACCACCCGAAGCCTCGTGCAGAAAAAGACATAGCTGCCGCCATGTTTACTTTGTTCTCTGTATTTATTGAGTACTAAATTGGAGGAGTTATTATTTCCTTGACCTTTTAACTGACAACACTTTGAGATGGAGTGCACCCGAGGCTCAATCGGAAGAAACCCTCTTGAGTTTGGAAATATTGATTGACAATGCTGTTGAAAGGCTGCTGCTGAGAGTAAGGCTTGTGAATGAATAGACTGCTGTAACACAGGGAACAAAAAACATGTGCTCTGATCGCATGCTATTTTTGGACAGAACAATAAAAAAAACAGTAATAGGTCAACTTTGCCCACGTGCCAAAGTTCCAGAATCAGACTGCTTCACTCACATCAACACTTTGAAAATCTTTGTGAGGTCAAGGTAGAGGCTTTGTTACTTGGTTTCCACAGGAAGATTCATGATCAAGGGGAATCTACAGCCAGATAAAACGTTCATATAGAACAGTGGTTTGTCAACATGTCTTCAGCTCAGGAATTTACACTCTTACATTCAGTTGGTGCTTTTATCCAAAGCAACTTACAATAAAAATTAAAACAAGAGGTTAGAAACCCAGAACAACAATAATCAAGAAAGCAGAATTTCTTCATTAAAGCCAAACTATTAAGTGCCATTTCAAGTGCAAAAAGTGTGCTACCTAGTTCTGGTATGGAGGTGTATTTTTGGTTTGTGTCGGAGGCGCTTTAGCTGTGGTCATCAACCTTTTTAAGCCAAAGATCCCTGAAAAAAAGGGACAACCTCAGAAACAAAGTATGTGCATGTGTTACTACAACTTAGTTATCTGGTTTCTAACATTTATTTAGCTGCTGTTTGTCTTAACTGTGGTGATTTCCTCTGCCTCAAGATTGCAGGTGTCCAGGTCAGGAAAGGGTGTGAGTGGGAGACCCACTGCTGCTTATTGGCCGTGGTTTGTCCACATGAATGAGGTGTTGGGACAAAGACCTTCCTTCAACCCCCCTGTCCAAGTTGCCTCCATCCCCGTGGACATACCGGGGCCAAGCCAGCCAGGGCCAAACTTGAGCTCATAGGAGAGGACATGAGGTTTCAAAGGGAGGCAGAGTTGCAGCCAGGAGAGGATGGACAGGCTGTTTAATAGTTTGAAGAGAATGGTGCCCAAATAAAAATATAATGAGGTTGTGTGTGAAATCATTGCTTACGTTATGTACAAAAACAATACATCACTCCACTGTTCACCACATCGTCACTCGACTGGGTGGGCTGACTCATCGACAGACTGCATCGAAATGACATATATATGTATGTATATATATATATATGTATGTATATGTATGTATATGTATATGTATATGTATATGTATATATATATATGTATATGTATGTATATATATGTGTATATACATATATAGCAAGTCTACCTTTTATAAAAGTCAAGGCGTGAGATGACCGGAGCCTTGTGCTGCTACCTGTGTCTCCTATTGGGGAAAAGAGGTAAAAGTAGAAGAGAAGTAAGAGAATTAGTTGACGCTTTTTTCCAAAGTGACTTACAATAAGTGCATTTCAACCATAAGGATATAAACTCTAAAGAACAAGACGATTTGCAACTTGCAGCGCACATCCTTCTGCGCTGGGCGGCAGCGACCTCCGACCCCAGTACGCCTGTCTCCGACCCAAGTCCTGGATCCATGACACATGCCCCGACTACGCCAGTCCCGGGTCCGCACCCCCAAGCCCAGCTTCCTGTGACCTGTTGCCGGCGCCCCGAGCCCGGCTCCTGTTCGGAGCACCTTCCCAGTGTATTTAAGCCCTGTGTGTCATATGTCCTGTGTGGCGTCATTGATTGTTCAACCCTAAATGTTGAATGTCTTACCCTCAGTGTCTTGCCTGTTCCTGTCTGCGTTTTGCCTTTTTTGAATTTTGACTATTAAAGTCCTTTTTGTTTTCTAAGTCCTGCCTCCACCTACCTGTTCGTGACACTGATATCATTAAAACCAGTGGCCATAGCCATTATGAGGGTTGAAATATACAGGCAGGCAATATTGTACACTAAAAGTTTTACGAACCAACCTACGTCTTTAGCTTGATCCTGATTGGTGACCTGTCAGGGTTTTATGGTGCCTCTCAAGCTTATTGTGACCTTGAGAGGGATAGGTGGATAATTGTTGGGAAATGGAAAAGGTTATGTTTAATGTATATTCAGTTTAGGTAATAAAATAATGACTAGATTTACATTATGGACTACATGAGTACTTCCTCCGTCACAATGCGGTAGAAGGTGCTCCGGTTAATATTGTTGCAGAAAATTAGAATTAGAACGACCTTTACTTTCCGAGTATTTGCAGTATGATTAGTTTGTGTGAACATGCTAAATATACATGTGTTTGGAGTCATGGTGCGACGATTTTCTAAATACCCTCTTCTTCTGCTCTCTATATCTTTATATCTTTTGTAATCTGTGAAATGCTATCAGCTGTAGCGTTAAAGAGCGTTCTGATGAATGAAGCAATTCTGAGCCAGGTGTTTTATTTAGAATGGGAATCGAAGCGAATAATGGCTCCCTAGATCAGCTATTTCACTACTTCTTGTCTTGAGCGGCATGAGTTCCACTTGGAAACTGAATTTCTCCCGATGGCAGAACCGTTAATGAAGGGAAACGAGAAGCGAGAGATGCAAACTGTATGTTTATTAGGGAAGTGTTTTGAAAGTAAAAAGATGTGTTGAGAACAGATACAGTCATATAGATGTCCCTGAATCATAATCACTGTTACATCCAATAGATTTAATTAAAAGGAAATCTCTCCACTACTTGCTTTTTTCCCTGCATATTTTTACCATTTCAAATTGATATTATGTATTTCTGAATAGTCTTAGCCATTTTCCAAAGTATATATTTACTTTACCAGACCGAAATATTATGAAACGGGGGATTAATTGTTAACTGTGACCTAGAATGCTAAGCTTCAACTAGCTAGTATAAATTCCACATATTTCTGTTCGCTTACTTTGTGCTTCATTGTCTTATTCACCCTTCATCCCTCATTGAGTGTAAATATCCCCTATAAAACACCTGGGAGGTTTTCCGTCCTCATCTCTTATACTTACCATGCCTTATGACCATGGATGTCTGATAAGAACCAAATAACAGACACCTAGATTATGCTTGTTCAATCCGGTAGCATTTTCTTCTTTTGGTCTCTGGGCAAACAACAAGGGCCAAGACAAGGGGCAGGGCAATATCCAGTTAACTGCTCAAAAAACTATTTTAGGGTAAGGCATGAATTCAATTTTAGGAAACTTCTCAGTTTTGACTGTATTGGTATTGATGGAAATGACACTCACACTCAAAGCAGTCCATTGTATCTGATTAAGACTGACTACTTCTCCTCCTCTATGCACCTCGATCCTGGGTCAGGGTATACCAATATTCCACAGCAATAGCTCTGTCTTTCATGTGGCGTTTCATGGTATCCTAGCTTCGGGGAGCCTTTGTTTCTAATCCAAAACGACAGTTGTGAGAAGAGGATCCGTTTAGAAAGGTTGTTATTCTAAAGTTTGGAAACTAAGCCTATTTATCTCAAGTCAAAAAGGCCAGCCTTTTGAAGAAAGTCAGTGTTTTTTCTGTAGTTCCACCATCTGACATTGATGATGTGTCATCATGAACATGTGAACCTTTTACCTTGGTCATAACTTCAACTAAAGCTTGCTAACGCCTCAGCCATGCGTGTCTACAGTTCAGTATCTAGTTTTTGCTTCCGTAGTCACAGTCCTTCCAAGATAAGACAACATATATAATTGGTTCAGGAACTTTTTTGCAGAGTGTCGTACTACAGTTTTGTGCATATATGCACTTCCGCCCAGTTGCACTCACTCCAACCATCATGAAGTGCTTCGAGAGGCTGGTCCTGGCTCACCTCAAAACCTGCTTACCACCCACACTGGACCCCTTCCAATTCGCCTACCGCAAGAACAGGAGTACGGAGGATGCCATCTCCACGGCATTACACCCCGCCCTTTCTTACCTGGACAATAACAACAGCTATGTGAGGATGCTGTTCATAGACTTCAGTTCAGCTTTCAACACTGTCATCCCCTTCAAACTAATCACGAAACTCAGTCACCTGGGTATCAACACTTCAACACACCCTCTGTAACTGGATACGGGACTTCCTATCCAACAGACCCCAGTCTGTTAGGGTAGAGAACCAAACCTCCTCAGCCCTCATCCTGAACACTGGCGTGCCACATGGCTGTGTGCTAAGTCCTCTCCTCTACTCCCTCCATCTACGACTGCACAGCTGTACACGGTTCTAATACCATTGTCAAGTTTGCAGATGACACAACGGTGATTGGCCTCATCAGTGACAACAATGAGTTGGCCTACAGAGAGGAGGACCAGCACCTGGCGGTGTGGTGCGCCGACAACAACCTGGCTCTCAACACCAAGAAGACCAAAGAGCTAATTGTGGACTTCAGGAAGAAAACTGGCACACACATCCCCATCCATATCAATGGGACAGAGGTTAAGCGTGTCGCAGCTTCAAGTGCCTGGG